CCCCCCGCCAATGGGAACCACGGCCGCCTCAGAGCCCGCGCGTGCCCCGGCCCCCCCCCCCCCCCCCCGCCCCCCCGCCCCCGGCCCCCCCCCCCCCCCCCCCAGTGGGAACCGCGGTGGCGGCCGGCGCGCGCCCCCCGGCCAATGGGCTGCGCGGTCCCCTCACGGCCGCCCCTCAGTGTCTCGTACCCCCCCCCCTTCGGCCACGACGGGACCCGCGAGTCGCTGCCGGGGCGCCCGTGACGGGGCCGTGCGGCTCACTCCGGGCAGCACTTTGTTTGCAATGACGGTCCCGCTTGGATGAGGTGCCCTGGGAGGTTCGCTTTCGGGCAAGGTAAAACACGGCTTTTAACTTGTAAAGGAAGAAAAACCTTTTTCCCCCTCTTATTTTGTCGCTGTCAGTCGCGGTGAACTGTAAGCCTGAGCCTTCCTTATGCTCACTCGGTAAAATAAATCATTGCTGGCTCCTAATAGACCGTCTGAGCAAGTACTTTGGGCAGGTCCCACGTTCAGTGCAGCTAACCTGAACTTTACTGTGTGATTTCCCACTCCGAGTGTTCCACACGCTCTTTCTGACCCCATCTGAAAGTGAAGAATAACCTTGTGCTGTTTGCACACCGTGACGAGGTTTATTACACACACAGCCCAATATCAGAGGGGATTCTGGGGTCGCACCCCAGGTCTTCCCACTGTCTGTGCAGCACGAGCCTGTTCCAAGCTGCACCCTGGGCACACTGAGATGGGATGCAGAAGGTAATTCACCAGCAAGGCTGGGCTGGGCAGATTTTGGGATGTAACTCGGGTAAGTCCACCCTGGAATAACTGAGGCATGTGTAGTGCCTCAGCTGCTGGAGGTGTGTTTTCATACTTCCAGCAGTGATGTGTGGAGCTTTTAACTGCCCTCCTTGTGTCCAATAAATAATGCCTTACTCTTGTTTTTTAACTGTGCCTGTCTGGTCCACGGGGATGTAAAAATGTTTCAGGTTTTCTCTCCTGCCTTTTACTCAGAAGAACTAATGTTGCCTTGCTCTTTTTCTGCTTCCCACTCGTCAGGATTTGGTGGGCTTGAAACTGCAAACTCCACTGCCAGTGGGTTTAATTTTGGGGGTTTCGGATTAACTGCTAATCCCGCGGTGAATTTTAATATTGGGAATTTCGGTGTTTCCACCACCTCAACTCCACCGTTCAATTTTGGTAACAGTCTGGCAAGTGCAGGTAGATAATGCGGAAATTCTTGTTCTGTGGTAAATGTTCCTAGCAGGGGTCCAAGAATGACATCCCTAACTGGGAATCTGGGACAGTACTAATCTTCATATCCAGTGAAGACTGGGGAGAAAAGCTCTGGAAGTGGAGTGGGTCTGAGAGCCATGGGCTTGTAGGGGTTTTGCCTGTTAAATTCCGAAGGAATAGCATTTAAAGGAAAAACAACCCTGTACCAAATACTCAGTCTCTGAAATGGGAATGAATTGGGGTCACCCACCACTCTGAAATTGGGCCTCAATCAGAGCCAAACGGCGCCGTCAGGTCTCCGTTCAGATCCAGGTGATTCCGAGCAACCCCAGAGCTGCTCCCTGTGCCACGTTTCCTGACATGAGATTCTTGGACTGCTGCAGTCATGTTTTCATCTTCCCCCCTGTGTTCTCATTGGCCTTGCATTGGCTGTCATGAATGCACCACACCCCAGCAGTTTCTGTGGAGAAACAAATTGTATACGACCGGCACAAAAGCGCAGCCCAGCCCTGACCTGTTCCCCAAATGCTGCCGAGCATCCCAAAACCTCCCCGGCTCCCCGGGGGGGAAGCTCGGTGCTCCGGGAAGGGCCCTGGGCGTCATGGGTGTGCTGGGTGGTGGTTAAGAATACCCTTCGTGGCCCCATATAGAGCCATCCGTGATGTAATTTCACCTGAAATCTTTCCCATTTCGTGTGAAAACGCTGGGCTGGATGGATTTCTAATGCCTTTGCTCGTGTGGAATTGTCCCGGGGATCCCGTTGCCGCTGCTCGTATAGGAATTCCATCCATTCCACAGTGCCATCTCTCTCCCTGTGTCACCTGCTGTGTGCACTCCAGGGACCTGGTTTTATTTGGGTTTATTCACTGGGGACACTCTTGGGCTGTTATTTCTTTGGCTGAATTTGAGCTGCTCCAAAGGAGAACTTGGGTACTTAAATTTGATTTCCCGATTTGCACTCTCAAATCCCTTTCAAAGAACTGATGACTAAAAAGTACAAAACCACCTAGAGACTGTGTCATCTGCTGGTGCTCCTGACAGGGTGTTTCACTCACTTCTAGGACAGAAATATAGGTGTTAGAGGGAACAACTTCTTACAATTAATATGACTGCTGAATGGAAATAAAATGTGATTGCACATCAGCCTTGGTTTAAGCTTTTTAGCTTCACTGTGTACAGGAGGGCTGTGAGTGTAGTAGATCTAAAGAACCTTTTTTTTTATTTTGGCATAGGCATGTGAGTTAGCAGCGGCAGCATCTTTTTGACAAATCCTTTGTAGCACGGTGTCTTTTTTCATTTGAACATATGTGAAACCAGGCAGACACAGAGAGAGCTTGGTTTCCTGGGCTGTCAGCACTCCACAGGCTGCACCTTGGGCCGGTGCTGCACTGGCACCACTGGAGCTCAGGCTCTCCCTTAGGCCTTCTGCTGCTGCCCCTTGACTGCTTCTCCTGAAAATCTGTGGGAGGCTGATTGCTTTTGCATCCATCTTCCTATACTAGTGGTTGAATCTCTGAATGAGGTTTAACGGGGAAGATGATAGGGAATCTAGGCTTAAAGAAGAAAGGACCTTCTAGAATTTTAGCTGTGAATTTTCCCTGTAAGCACTGTGGGCACGCTAGCCTCAGGCTGTGATTTATTTCAAAGGGTTAGCAGTGTTTGAAAAGTTTAGAAAACATCAGGTTGTTTATTAAACACTCAGTAGTGACATTGAGCAGAGGTATTCCTGAGAATGAATGTAAGCAATACTGCCATTAGTTGTGTCTGTCACAAGGGAAAGCACATCCCACTGGTAAAGGAACAGGATGTCAGTTGGCAGCTGCCTTTTGGTTTACTCTCTTGACACATCACACAAGTTTTGGCTTTCTGGTCCCTGTTTTCTCCCCCATTTCCTCAGACAACAAGCTCGATCCCCCAGACGTGTGACGTGTCCCATCCATGTGTCAGACCTGTTCTCATCACACCCCGCAGTGCGGTCGCTCGTGGTGCTGTGTCCGCTCCGCTCCCTGAGCCGCTGCCTGACTCCCGCTCTTTGTTTGGCAGGAGCGTTCGGAGGGTTTGGCACCACCACCACCACTGCAGCACCAGCGTTCAGCTTCTCTGCTCCCACCAACACGGGCACCGGCGGTAAGGGAGTCTGACCTGCTGGCTTTAGAACAACCCACGAGTGCTTTGGATTGCACAGCCACTAATCCTCCTCTCAAAAATCCTCTCCTTTTCCCCCCAGGACTCTTCGGTGCCACCCAGAACAAAGGCTTTGGATTTGGCACTAGTTTTGGCACAGGAACTGGAACTGGCTTGGGTAGTGGGTTGGGAACTGGGCTAGGCTTTGGAGGCTTTGGAACCCAGCAGCAGCAGACCAGTGAGTATGGCCTTCTCTGCACTTACCCCTCTCTTTGCAGCGAGAGCGTAAGACTGTCACAGTTACTCAGGTAGTGGGACAGAAGTGTACTGTAAAAGGAGGCTGTTACACACTTACCTCCTGACTGAGGGAGACTCCCTCAGAAATTTGGCATTTGAAGTGCCTACGTTTGCAGCACTTGCCTTTTTCTTAACTAGCTTTTACTAGAGCTCAAGAGAGTTCCTGAGCTTCTGACAATACGTACCCCTTTGGTTTAGTGGTGGTAGAAAATGTAGTTACAAAATTGATGTTGCTGTCACAGCATTACTAGAAAGGGGAGGAAAACAACATTTAAAACTCACATGTTTAAATGTGAGTTGGATAATGAGCTGCTGCAGGCTCTGAGCCTGCTGAGTTTGTAACAACCAACCTGCCCTTCAGGTTTAGATGTTGAAGGTGCCAGATGATGCTGTGGATCAGTACAGACCTCTTGTTAAAGAATAAAGAAAAAATAATTTCCTTCTAACTCAGCACTCAAGAGCTACTGTTGTAGTTGAAGATTAGGAGTAAAAAAAAATTATTTATTTATTCTGTGCTTTTATTCTGCTTCTCAGACTGTGAAGTGGTGCCAATGATAGGTGATAGTGAGTCTGGCATGGTTAGTCAAGGAATTAATTTGGATTTTCCATCCACGGCAGCGTTAGGAAGCGGGTTGTTCAGCCAGCCTGCCCAGACACCCGCCCAGTCCAACCAGCTCATCAATACAGCCAGTGCCCTGTCGGCTCCGACACTCCTGGGGGATGAGAGGGATGCCATCCTGGCCAAGTGGAATCAGCTGCAGGCCTTCTGGGGAACGGGCAAAGGGTACTTCAACAACAACATCGCTCCTGTGGAGTTCACACAGGAAAACCCCTTCTGCAGATTTAAGGTGAGGAGTTGTACAGCTGCCCACAAAGGGGGCTGTGACACCCTTATTCTGTTTGCTGAGTCTGAGCATCTCATGGGTGTTAAATCAGATTTTGTTACCGGTAAGAGTGTTCTGAAACAGTGTTTTTCCAGGTAATCCACACAGTTCTGGTGCATGCTCATTAAAAGGTTCGAAGATGCTGGAAATCTGGGTGGTGTGGAGGGACTAGATCATGAGCCCAGATGTGGATCATAAAAGTAACATTTTCTGATAGCATTCAGGTTAGTGTGTGTGTGTCACGGGAGCAAGTCTCTGGAAATGAACTTTAATGTGTATTTGTGGAAGTGACAGTAGGACAGAAACCGTGTAAAATAGCTGTGTTAAAATAACCCTCTATGAACCTGGCCTGTGCCAGGTTCAGAGTCCACCAGCCTTCAGATTTGTGCCTTTTTCCGTCCCATGCTCACACTGTATGAGCTCACGTGCTCCAGTCCCTGTCTGAAATGGTCAGCAGTTCTCCTGTGGACAGACAATACGTGGCTCTTCATCCTCCGCCAATCCCGCCCCCGCTGAACTGCCTTGCTAAGCCTCAGGCCTGGCAGGGATTTGGGGCAGGTGTGGTGATACCCTCCTTCCCCAAGCTGATTCTTACTTTGAGACCTGAATGTAGGTTAATACTTAATTAAGTCTAGTTTTGATTATGCACCTCATGAGACTTGTATGAAATTTTTGCAGCAACCAAGTGCCTGCCTAACAAATGTTTGGCTTGTGTTGCATCGCCTCATTCAGTGTTACCTTGGATATTTTGTTGGCAATGCACCTGGAAGCTTACTTTATTGTGAGTTGTTGTCTGAAATCGCTTTAGAGGCTTTGAAAAATTGCCAGGTGTAAGCTGTGTCATGGAAACTCAGTTATTTTAGAGTTTTATTTACCTAAAAAAGAGTGGTTTTTGTTTTAGACAATGCCACATACTAGGTTCACTCTTGTACCTATGACTTGAGTGTTTCTAATATTGTTATGAATTCATATACCTTAAGTGAAACACTGAAGAATCCCATCTATGCCAGCAATGGAAGATGCCTAAATAAAATAGGGAGAAGTTGGTGGCACAGGAACAAAGCATCATAAGCTAGCTTGGTTATTGCCTCTGAAAGCATCAGGCACCTGATAAGAATGAGGCATCACCTGGAGGGTTTCACTGGTGTTCAAGGAATCCACTTGTACACACTTCCAGATCTAGGGCAAATGGAAAGCATGCAGCTCTTAGCCAAGGAAAGTGTGCTTCTAAAGTAAGTGTTACAGGCTGCTCTTTGAAGGACCACAGTTAAGTAAACAAAATGCCATAGTTTGAAAATACTCTGTTGCATAAAAAACCATGAAGGATTTATTTATTTAAAACAGAAATAGCAGAGGAGTGATGTGCTTAAAACCAAATTCTTCCCTGACTGTCACTGTTGTGCTCTGTGGCAGGATGGCTGATTCTGTGAGGCTCACTGTGGCAGGGGATTACTCACTGCTGACAAAACCAGGCTCTGGGGCACATCCCCAACTCGTTTCTCTCTTCAGCTGAACTTGCAGGAAGGGAAAGGTGCAGGTCACCCACCCACATGCAGTGTCAGGGCCTCAAAAAGCCCCCACTGTCCACCCTGTCACCTGTGGTATGTTGGTGTGACAGCTCTTAGGCAAGAGGAGATGAAAGCTGCCACTCTGCTTCTGCACATAATGAGGTCTGGTCCTCTGGTCCCTTTTGCAGTTTGGGAAAAGGGTAAATTTTAAAATGTTCCTGATTTGCTGTCAGCTCTGCAGAACTCCCAGTCCATAGGTTTTTCTGTAAGATAGGAAATCTCTACTTAGGAACTTTTTGTAAAAATCCAAACTGTTTCAAAAGCTGCTCCGCTGATATTTGTGTGAGAGAATGATTTAGAGAAGGATTGATTTTATGTTTCTGCAGCTCTGAGTATGTCGTAAGTTAAATTTTGCACCAATTGCTCTAATCAGAGGGGTTTATCCTGTCCCCTTCATGCCACATTGGATATGCTTTTGCTGAGTAATACATCCTCATTTTTCATTTGTTCCTTTGCAGGCTGTGGGTTACAGTCTAATGCCCAACAACAAAGATGAAGATGGCCTCGTGGTTTTGGTGTTTAACAGAAAAGAAGCAGATATTCGAAGCCAGCAGCAGCAGCTCGTGGAGTCACTGCACAAAATTCTGGGGGGAAACCAGACCCTCACTGTCAATGTTGAAGGGGTTAAAACGATGCCAGATGACCAGTATGTGAACTTCCCATAGTTCTGCCTTTTTATCCAGTACTGCATGTTGGAGAGGGTTCGTGCTTGAGTGCCTCCCCTTCTCCTTGATTTTGGATCTGTTCATCCTGAGTTCGATTTGTATCTCTCACTCCTTCATATTGCTTTTTATTAAGGCATTAAACCTTTCCAGAGGTTTTAGGTTATTCCCAATGTAGTACTGGTGTCACCATATAATGTAATTGTATGCACAGCTTCCCTCTCTCTGCCTTGCTGTGTTAAACCCTGCAGTTACTGGTACTTCACACCTCAGTGAGCTAAAGGGAGTTAAGAGCCAGCCAGGAGAAGTGGTCAGTTGGGATTTCGGGCTGGTTTTGTTGTGTTAGTTCCTGCAAGCTGCTGCCCCTTTCCTGCCATTCTGCACTTTGCCTTGCTCAGGACAGAGGTGATCATTTACGTTGTGGAGCGCTCGCCCAACGGCACCTCGAGGAGAGTTCCCGCCACCACCCTCTACGCCCACTTCGAACAAGCCAACATCAAGTCGTCCCTGCAGCAGCTGGGGGTCAGCCTCTCCATGGCCAGGACAGAGCTGTCCCCAGCACAGGTCAAGCAGCTCCTGCAGAACCCTCCTGCTGGTACGTGGGCTCGGCTTTTTGGGATAAATGCAGGTGTCAGCCCGCTGGAAAACACCTTCGAAAGCTACAAGAGCTGCACACAGTGCACATACAGCTTTGTGTTAGAGTAGTTAAGTGTTCTTCCTGCCATTTCATAAGATAACTTATCTTTACCTCTATAGCTTTAATATATGTCTGTGTTTAGGATATGAAAAGCTATGAAATCAGGATTGCAAAAAGAACTGGGCCTACTCCTGCAGAAAAATCAGAGCTAGTTCCTGCTGGGATTACTTTGCCAACTGGTTTTGGGTTTTGATCACTTATTTACTGATTTTTTAATATTTGGGGTTTTTTTACACAACTTGAAAAAGACAGATGACCCGAGTGTGGAATACAGTGGAAACAGTAGGAATTTCTCCCTTTAATGTATTAATTATATGATGGGATCACCTATGGGTTGTTCCTTTCCCCTACCCTCAAACAAGCAGGAGTATGTGACAGCCTTTGGGACTGAACTTACTGCCACAGCTCAGAAACAGGACTTTTAAGAACTATCCTCATTTAATTAACCTTCATTTGTGTAACAGTTCAGCATAGTTCACAGGGTTTGTGTATGCCACAGCAATTTTTCCTGCTTAAGAGCTGTAAGATGAGAAAGCTATTCAGATTTATCCATACTAAAAAATTCCTTTGTTTGTTGTTTCCAGGTGTTGATCCTATTATATGGGAACAAGCCAAAGTTGATAATCCCGATCCTGACAAGTAAGTCCAATAGTCTGAGTACTGCAACAAAACTTGGAAAGGGGAGAAAGATAATAAGCGCATAGTACCCTCCAGGTAACTTGCAAGCAGCATATTAGAGAAGAACTTGGCCAATTGTTGATCTCCTTGCAAACACTGAAGATTACTAGAAGTGCCTCTGTTAATCCTTTTACCCATTTAGGTGCTTAGGAGCTGTCAGGATAAAGAGCCTTACTCACATGACTCGGAGCTGTGGTGTCCTCCATTGCATGCACTAGTTATTGTGACTTATGTTTTGCAACCATTGTGGTTTTTTCCCCCCTCTTCTTGCAGTTGGAGGTGATGCACCTTTGTACCCTCAGTAGCTACAGATAATTTGGGCTGATTTCTTTACAACAAAGGACCAGGTTGTTGGGAATAGTGAGGACACTAGGTCTGAGCAAAAGAAGATATTTTTATTTATTAGCTTACAAAAGGCCATGATTCTCTGTGACTTCATGTTAGACTCTATACATAATTATTAATCTATACCACATGACCAGTAAAAAAAAGTGTTGCAAGAAACATTTGTGTTCTTGTAGGCTTATTCCTGTGCCAATGGTGGGTTTCAAGGAACTGTTGAGAAGATTGAAGGTCCAAGATCAGATGACCAAGCAGCATCAAACTCGATTAGATGTAAGGTTGCTCATCTTTATCACGACTGCTTGCTACTGCTGAAGGATGTGCTATTAAAATAAACCTCCCCCTGGGCCTCCTGTGTGTTGAAAACTGAAACCAGAACCGTGTTCTTAATGTATTTCTTAAATATATCTTTTGCCCAAAAGGGAGCAGCATGGTTTCGCTTTTGTTTCAGGTTCAAGCTCGCTGTGTTGTTAGAGTAAATCAGACTAGCTCAGTGAAGGTATACTGGTATGGACTCTAAATTTAGGCAACCAGTTTTCCAATGCCTTCTGAAAATCCCAGTTGCAGATGAAAACAAATACAAAGCAGAATAGTTGAGGTAGCAGAAGGCTTCCTAAAAGCATCTATGGCAAGGACACGAAGTTGCTGGGCTGTGTACTGCTGTTAAACTCCCCATTTCAAATCAGGAGTGACGTGTTCTGTTATCACAAACTCCTCTGACTTCCAACTGCCTCCATGTCCTCTGCAGATAATATCAGAAGACATCAGCGAGCTGCAGAAAAACCAAACGACAACTATGGCAAAAATTGCACAGTACAAAAGGAAGCTGATGGCACTTTCTCACAGAACATTACAGGTAACAGGGGTAGTGTAAATAGCTCCTTTGACACACAGTCCAGTGCCAGAGAGGGCAGGAGGACCTGTGCCAGCTTGTGCAGGACCAGTGCTGAAAAGGAAGTTCTGACTTCAGCTAAATGGTGTTCATTTAAGTACCAGGCAGAGCTGTTGGGGAAAGCTTCAGGTCCACAGTACTCAGGAACCTTCCCTCTCCCTTCTCAGGGCAGTCCTGTGGCTTCTGGGTGTCTCAGAGCAGCAAAGTGACAAAAAAGTCCAATGAGACCCATGCTGGAAGAAGGGCAAAAAGACATGAATGGAGTGGTGGGGAAAGAGATGGGCCAAGTCTTCTCTACTGAACCTATAAGGCTTCTTTTGTAGGTGTTAATAAAGCAGGAGATCCAAAGGAAAAGTGGTTATGCCATCCAGGCAGATGAGGAGCAGCTCCGTGTACAGTTGGATACAATTCAGTGTGAACTTAATGCACCAACACAGTTCAAGGTAGGTAGTTAATAGAACTCTGCTACTCTTTTCTTACTAAAAGTTAGTTTTCCAAACCATGCATGTCTCTTTGTTGTACAAAGCTGTCAGCAGTCCAGCAGCGTTACCAAGAGTAGCATTGTGGACATTGCTGCATGACCAATAAGTACTTAAGTATTTTGGAGTTCTTGGAAGTATTTGAGTCACATGACCTTTGTACATCTTCCAAAACATTTAAAAATGGAATGAGCAGCAATGGTTCCAGCCCTGGTGACTCAAGGAACAGTACATGGTGGAGCTCTGGCAGATGTTTGATTGAAGCCTGTTTCTCCTGCAGGGCAGACTGAATGAGCTCATGTCCCAGATCAGGATGCAGAACCACTTTGGAGCAGTGCGAGCTGAAGAGCGCTATTACATAGATGCAGATCTCCTAAGGGAAATCAAGCAAGTAAGTATGACTGGGTGGAATCCTCTTTAAACTTCATTTAAGCCAGATACACACTTGACTATACCTAGAATGCCACGTTCTTGGAATTGTTTGATGAAGTCCTTTTTGCTGTTCTCAGTGCCAGGGGATCAATGTTACACACAACCACTCTATGGAGTTAGGCTTTTAGTGCAGAAAATGCTGTTATTCCTTCTTCCAAGAAATTATGCCAGGCTTCTCCGTGTGCCAGGGGCACCAGTCACGACACCTGTGGGAAATATTACTTACAGTCTGCAAAGTTGGACTGTGCTCACACTGGTTTCTTTAACTACCTGCAGCACCTGAAGCAGCAGCAAGAAGGGCTCAGTCACCTAATCAGCATCATCAAGGATGACTTGGAGGACATCAAGCTAATAGAACACGGGCTGAACGAGAGCATTCCCATCAGAGGAGGAGTCTTCAGTTGACTGGATGCTGCTGGGCTTACACAGAACACGTTAGTCAAGTTCATGGTTCACCTTCCAAGGCTAAAACTTTTGAGGTAAAATAAAACATATCTTGTAGGAGCAACGGTATTTTGGCTGTTACCTTTAGAATTAGCAAAGCCTCTTCTAAGCTTTTAAAATTGACCTTTGGAAGGTTTATATTTTGTAAAGCTGTATATGCTTTAACAAAAGAAGGAAAACCGAATCTGTTCAGATACTGGTTTACTATAAAACTATATGTACTATTGTACATTTTTTCTTTTTTTTTCTCTCCTTTTTTTACAACAGCATTGTCCTAGAAATACAGTGCTGAGGGGATTGCTTCACTTGTGACTTGGTTTGTGGAAAGCTTAGCCCCCTTCCGTGTTTCTGTTAAAACAATCAAGTAACATTGTGTAAACAGTTAAATCATTATGGGGATGTTAGTTGCTGTAACTATGTTGGTCCCTGCAATACCAGTAGTTTACTGGGGCAAGCTGCAGGAACTTGTTTCCAGTTTCTGTTCTTCCTTTGGACTGCACAGATCTGCAGGTCATGTTTTTATCACTTTACATATGTGATTTATACAGAGCTTTGGTGCCCCTCTAAGTAACAGGATGTCCGGACGTTGTCTTCTGCCTTTTTTTAATTGCCCAAGAGTAATAAATTCAGTCTGACTTTGTAATAACTGGTGTGTGGTGTTGGCTCTCGGTTACATCAGTGACACTGCTCACAGCTCCAGGTAAGTGCACTTCACTCTGCTCCAGGCACTGCAAGTAATGGGCACAGAGATGGCACCTGCTGGCACAGAGCTGCTGGCAGCCTCAGTCCCCAAACCATGATACAGAGCCCTCTCCCTTACATCCTACCTGGCAGCAAGTGCTGCAGGGCAGGTACCTACTCCATGCAGTGGAGAGTGGTTTTTAACCCCCCCCCATTAAAGAATTCACTGATAATAACTGAAACAAAAGAACTTGTGTTACCTGCAGTAAGAGTTTGTACAGCAGAGACAGAGGAAGCAGAATAATTTTGTCCATTAGCCACCAAAACAAAATAAATCCCATTCATAAAATTTGATAGATGGAAAAACCAAAAATACAGCCTAAGCATGCTGCAGCATGTGTAGTCATGAGAGAGTGTTTGTGGAAGCCTAGTTTCATTACAATTGAAAAAAGTGGGAAAAGGACTCGTTTGCTTTTGAAAGCACAGTTCCAATAAATAAAGTATCTCCACTGTGCAATACAGGCTCTATCATGGGCTCTTTAAAGAGCTCAAATGACTCTAAAATTCTCTTTTTCAGGGGCTGAGGTGGCTTAAGTGAATTCTTCTGCCATGGTTCCCCTGCTAGTCTGACTGTGCTGCATGTTTGAGATAAATACTTTTTTTTGCTTTGTAAGCTTTTCAAACTCCCCCACACTTCGCTCCACTTAAGCTACAGTTGTACCACGCTCTGGAAATATCATGAATGTGAAGGACAGGCTCCTTAACAGGAGCTTTGAAAAAGTCAATTACCTCAATCACTTTCTTAAACAAGACCCCCTGCTAGAGACAGTGTTGCACTTTGGAGGTGTTTGTTTGGTTTTTTTCAAAGTATTGCTCCACTGCACTTATTTTGTTGCTTCAAACTTATGGAACAAGCTTACCACAGCAAAGGAACCACCAGCAGAAGTAAGTGTCATCACTGGAACAGCACTGCTGCTCACAGAGCTTAGAAGCTAGGGAAAACAAGAACAGCCAAGAAACAGCAGTCTAGAAAAAACTGTTTATTAAAAGGAAACCCCTGATCAAACAGGTGCTACCTTGTTAAAACCAAGTAATACCTCTACTTCCATTTTACTACTTTTGGATAGAGCTGTAACTAAGATAGAACTGTAACTAAGTTGCATCTTCCCTTTGCACAGTCACACTTCTACTTAAAATATAGCTTCTTGTACAAATGGTCAGAATTGCAGGGCATGTATTTTGCCTGTTGCTTCTCCCTAATGGGTCACAGCTGCTGGTCTCTGCTTGGGGTACCTGCCTTCCCTTTCCCCATTCAGCATCCACAGGCACTGTGCAGTTGGGTGGGACACAGTCCCGGCTGCTCAGACATGAAGGCATTGGCCGTGGCAGCCCCGTGCGGGCTCTCACGCCTGGCACTGCCTGACAAGGCGAAAGGCCTCCAGGAACTCGTTGAAGTCAATGTTCCCGTCCTTATTGAAATCGATGCTGCGAACCAAGTCACTGATGCCATCATCCGTGAGCTCAATGTTCATGTGGGAGCTGAACAGCTTCCAGGTCTGCTGGAATTCTTCAAACGAGATAAGACCTGTGGAGAAGCGTTTCACATGCTGCAACTCCATCTCCTAGTGTGGAGAACACTGACTAAAAACACAACTTAAGGCAGCAAGGAGACATAATACAAATTGGGAGAACAAAAGGCAAAGACTATTTTCTCTTTCCCGAAGTAATTTGATGGAGATTACTACCTGAAAGCAGGTAACACTCCAGATCCCAATTACACTGCATTACTGTCACTGCTCTTATCACAATTTTTCTGCTGAACTCCTCCAGAAAAAAGAATTGTTAATTCTCTAGCTGGATTGCACACACTTGAAAACACATCCTGTTTGTGGAAACATGCAATGACATTTCAGAAGCTTGGGAGGGAGCAGAAGGATCCAAGCCTTAAACAGTTAAATAAAAACACCTTTGTATGCACTAAAGGGAGCCTCAAAGTAGAAGGGAACACAAGCAGTCACCAACACCCCCTGCACACCTGCTTACCTGAATGGTCCTTGTCTATGATCCTGAATATTGTCTCCAAGTTGGATCTGTTCCGGTAAATGACTTCCAGCAGGCTTGACTGGATGTGCTGAAAGAAAACATGATCAGACTCACTCTACCCTTCTGACAGTCCTCTGTCCTGAGTGGTTACTGCACACCTCCCCATAAATACAAACATTTCTTGCTCTCAAGAATGTGCCAGTAGTGTGTGATAGCTAGACCCTCCATGCAACTGCATGGACCATCAGCAGCCTGTCCCTTCCGACAGCACTTTTCCAGGCTGTGACCATTGCAGAGCTGGATTTGCTGGGTGTAATTAGGAAACCACAACTCAGAGTGAAACACAGTTTTCCCACCTGAAAGCCTGCATCCAGAGCTACCTCTTGGTAGTCCTTACCTCTTGGCTCCGCTGCTCCATGGCCAGGTCATCCAGCCAGGATTTGTACTCCAGCATGCCATCCTCCGTGCTGCGCACCAGCTGCGGTCTCAGCATTCGCCAGGGCAGGCCCAGGCGCAGGACTGACTCCACTGCCGTCGCCCAGTTGCTCAGTGTGATCCTTCCTGGAGGGAAAGAGACGTGGAGACTTCTGGGACACTGGCAGCTGAAAGCACATGAAGTGAGGGGGTCTCCCGACCAGCCACTCACTCAACTTTGTCACTTCAACTTCGCCCTACCAGGGAATTAGCTTATACATCCCTCAGCTCAGCTGTACCTGTGTTGTCCTCATCGTAGGCCTTGAATGCGCTGATGAGGGCGGAGGTGTGAGCAAAGAGCTTCTCCCGCAGGGCTCGGAAGGCAGACTCCTCTACTCTGCTGATTCTGGAGGATGCAGAACAGAGAGAAGCACATGAAGGACTTGCAAGAGAAGCTGCACCTTCCCAGTCCTCTGGCTTGTCTGTGGGTTTTCTAAACCCTCACACAACTGCTCTGCACAGCTACAGCTGCATTTCTGCTCATGGCAAGGCACTGCATGCCCAGGGCACAGTTCCCCACAGCTGATGCAGCAAATTCCCACATCAATATGTGAAGTAATAAAGCAGAAGGGAACCTCAAAGGTCAAAAGTTAAAAACTGACTTTGAAAAGAAAAACTGAAAAAATCAGCAGTCTAAAAAAAAAAATCCCCTTGGGATCTTGTAACACTCCCTCCTCAACCCTTGAGGAGCCTCCCTCTAACTTCTGCACAAGGTTTGAATCCTCCTCGAGAGCGATTATTTAGAAAAATCAAGCTGTGGAAGTTCACCTCCAGAATCAAAGTTTCTCAAAACCCACCAAGTTCTCCCTTTTGGAATTCTGATTTGTAATCTAGAGCAACCAGAACACCTTGCCTTTGGGTCATAGTGAGCATATGGGCCGACTTGTTTGCTTGGTACTGAACAAAGTGGGGGACGAGGTCTGGTCCCAGCTTCACATAGGCTCCTCTGTTGCTGCCAATCTCATAGTAGTTTGAGGCTGAAAATATAGTCAGCACCTAATCCCAAAAAAAGAGAGGCACTTACAGTCAGTACATGCATCCTGTAATATATATGTACATGTAAACAACACATGTGATCCCATCCAGAATCCAGACTGTGAACACACCATGTTTTATGTGGAAAAGGGAGAGTGAGGTTGCAGCTGGCCTGGAAGCCTTACACATGCAAACTCCACAAGGGCAGCACAGATCTCATGGACCTGGTCACATGTTGGGCTTGTGATTTCAGGGTGGTCTCCCAGCAACCACTGCCTGGAGTCAGAGAGTGTCCCTGATGAAGTCATTGAAGTGACAACACCGAGTCCTCTGAGAGCAGAGCTAGGCTGCAGCAGCTCAGTAACACCTTTTGTAAGCCATCTTCAGCAACAGCTGCACTAATTAGGGGCCACGGTACAAGTGGGTTCACAGTTTCCCTGCTGCCCCACACAAGGACATCCTCTACCTGCACAGCCACGTCCCCAGCAGAGCAGGTGGCTCCAGACAGCCATAACAGTTGGAAACACTTCAAAAACTCCCAAATAAGGCTGTTCAGTGGTGTTGCATGTACTTTAAGCCCCACTGGAAGAAACTCAGAGCTGAGAAAAGCCACTCCTACAGCAACCCTACCCTGGAAGGATGGAGACACGAGCCATCCCCCTCACACCGACCTTCCGGCTGTGACAGAACTCGTAGCCCTCTTGCTTGCACTCATGGGAGCGGATGAGGAACTGCAGGTTGTACTTCTCAAGGATCTTCTCTGTCACATCAGGCCCAAAGTAGCAGCCGCCACCTCGCACTTTGTTTGCTCTGCAGCCCTCCTGAGGCATGGGGTCACTCCAGAGAATGTCTAAGATCTGAAAGGATTGGAAGAGCTCACTGAATAAAGTGTATCCACAGCAGATATCACCTGTCAGGGTTTACTAGGCAAATATAGCTCAGTCTCTGAATCCTTCCCTGCACTGCTGCAGTTACCATAGTGCAGGGGAGCAGACATGTTTCCTGCATTCCAGCTGAGCTGTCACAGACCTGGGCCACCTTAGAGATGACAGCATTGCTGGCCTGAAGCTACAGGCACACCCAAAGTGCCTGGGGAAAGAGAGGTGTCCAAAAATCAGATCTGATACAAGCTTTGCCTTTGCTGCCTCTAAGATATCCAAGAGCCTTGCTTGTCCTTCTCCATCCCAAAGCACAAGTCCCAGGGCAAGAACACCCACCAGATTCTGAGGGCACAAGCAGGCTTAGTATTAAACTCCTTTGTTCTCTACCCAGGACATTTTGCAGCCTCCAGAAATGCAAGTGCTGACTCAGTAACCACTGTCTGGATTAAAGTTTAATCTCTTTAACCCTGACCTCAATATACAGCTTTACACTGAAAAGATGTGCAGCACTGGAATGTCTTATGTAACGTGGAATAAGTACCCATGGTTACAGAACACAGAGAGGAGAATTACAGACAAGAAAGCCAAG